GAATCAGCCTCTCTACCTTGTAGAGGTAGAAGTAAGATCTGCTTACAGTATACCTTCCCTAGACCCATCAATCTGAAGTTTAAAACTTGGGAGTTTTAGTACTGTTTTTGATGTAGTATCTTAATGTATACTATATGAAAAGAAATAAATCAATACCCGATGTTAAACTAGAAATAAATCAAGTGAACCATGATGAAGTGAACTAGGCAAGTCAGACGGCGTAGTAAGATTTTGAAGGTACTAGTAATTGCAAATTTGACACCTTACCATTTGTTCTCTGCTTCTCGATTTCCTCCTAGCATGTGTATGTAGGTAGTTAGAGTTTGTTTTTCTCTAAGGTCATCCTTTTTCTATTGTTTTGTTCTTTATAAGGCGCAACGATTGCTAAGATAATAAGATGTTAAACTTACCTTCTAAATGTTTTTATACCTCTTTTATTCTCTATATTTCTGCGAGTGTATGTTGGGATGCAGTTGCTTTATTTCTATAATCCTGAATGATGAGTATCCTGTAGGATGGCAGTATCAACAGTCAACACCTACTGTACAGTGCGTTCTGGAAGAAGCTCTGACTAAAAAAACGAAAATAAACCGCAAAGAACTTTGTTTAGTTGGTGCAAGCCGGACAGATGCGGGAGTTCATGCATGGGGTCAGGTCTGCTTTCCTGCCCATGGATTCTCACTAACCAAGAGAAATGATCAAAATAAATAGACTTGAACGAACTTTGGCTTTCAGGTGGCACATTTCGTTACACCTTTCAACTATGAAACACTAGACGGCATTCATAGAGCTGTAAATGGTCTTCTTCCTTCAGACATCAGAGTTAGAGAATTTAGCCCTGCAGCACCTGAGTTTCATGCGCGTTTCTCTGTCACAAGCAAGATATATTGCTACCAAGTATATAATTCCACTATCATGGACCCATTCTTGAGGCACTATGCTTACCATAGTGAGTATAAACTCGACGCTGCTGTCATGAGAGATGCCGCAAAGCATTTCGTGGGGAAACATGACTTTTCTGCCTTTGCCAATACATCACGAAATGACCGGGTACCAAATCCAGTGAAGACGATATTGCGCTTTGATGTTGTTGAAAAGGTACTATTCATCCCTTTACTGATATAAGACTTATCAATTAGGTTCCATGGCTTGCAGTGAGGGTGGGTTTCTCTTGGTCTACACAAAATACACTTTGAGCTGGCTGACAGCTCAAGGTACATGCATATGGGTTTCATATCAAAATTCCGTCAGAAGGTGCATCAGGGCTTCCCCAAGCTTAGAAACTCAACGAGTCTGTGTATTCTTGAAGTTCATGCTAACAAATTCCAAAAATAAAGTACATTTTTTTATGAGCCTCACCTATATCCCATTCTATTTGACATATTTTGACTAGGCATGGAAATTAAGAATTTAATCTAATTCTTTTCTTTATGGGTAATACTACGAGTAAATGTAGTAAAGAAATTGATAAAAAGTTACCTTTGGTCTTTGGATAGAAAAAAACCATTACATCTTAACATGAAGATGACTTTGAGAATGTCTTATAATATTATTGTTTACGAAGTGCGTCTTTATCGTGGTACATCTCATAATAGATATACGCACACAAGGCGGAACAAAGAGACTACATGCCAACACTAGTAGTATTTATATTGGAACTGTTCCTATGAAGAAATTATAGCTCCATAATGTTAGAAAGTATCTCTGATTTGTAAGTTCTAAAATGCCATACTGAGTAGCAAATATATGAACATAAGATGGCAAAATACAAAAGAAATATAATTTTACAATCAGTAGTGAGACTATATTATCCTAAATGCAAATCCTCCACATTAGACTATCTTAAATGAGAGGAAAAATGGATAACTATGGACATTTTTCCCCTTAAAACGTTTTTATTGCCCTCTAGAGTGTACCCCTTGAACTATCAAAATGATATGAGCACCCACCCCGGGTCCACCATCCAAACCATGGGATGATGGAAGATGCCTAACCTTCTATAACCTGGATTATATGCCGCGTTAGTAAAGAAGTTATGTTAAGGTGGCATTAATGTATAACGAAAAGGATATAAAATATGGTGTTTGCCTGTTTGATATAAAAAACATTCAAAGATAGAGTTCAGTCCCTCTCATGTAGGTCTGATCTTTGCTGACCTTTTACAGAAGTTGATGGCTGTATATATTGCTTTAATTATTTGTACTAGTATATCATAAGAGTTGGCAAATTCTTGGTGCTTGAAAAATATGCTCGTTTTTCTTTATCAATATAACTCTTGTGCTTTTCTTAAAAAATGTTTCCGGCTGCAGTTTGCAAGTTCGTATGATAGTTTACCCAACGTAACATAATATAAACGTGAAAATGAAGGAAAACGCATAGTGTTACTGCAGCTTCTGACTTTCACAATCACCCAGCCACCACAGACTCTCCAATCTCACACTTTTCGTCCTTCCAAATTGATTTTATTACTTTAGTTTCTGTAATTCAATTTTGATGCTTATCTTACACAGTGCTTGAGAAGGAAACATTAAAGGAAAGAAAGACATAGATGAGGAAGTACTTGAGAGAAAACAAAGGGAAAAAGAAAATTTCCCAGATTAGGATTAGTTGTAGGGGAAAATAATGAAAAGAAACAAATAGGGGATGTCAGACTTAGCCATGTTTGGTATAAGCGCCAAAGCCTGACTTAGTTGGTATTCATAGCTTAATGACGTAGCCAGTGCTTAGAGCATATGAAACTGCAGCCATTGAGGGATTACTTGTCATATGCCTATGAATAAAGTTTTAAGTTTGATATCTTGTTGTGTTTTTCTTTAGGGACCTCTTTTGCGGCTAGAAGTTGAAGGATCTGGTTTCCTATATAGACAAGTTCGGAACATGGTATGTAATCCATAAAGAAAAAACTTTCAAGTATTCATCATGATTTCAGGACTGAATCTCAGCTGCTCTTGAACGGTAGCACTGAAGATAATGCGTGGTGATTTTTCTCAAAATCTTTTGCAGGTTGCTTTGTTGCTTCAAGTTGGACGGCAAGCAGTTCCACCAGATATTGTTGTTAGGATTTTGGAATCTCGTGATAGGAAGGAACTTGCAAAGTATACCTTGTTACTTCCACCTCATGGACTCAGTCTCGAGACTGTCAAGTATAATGAAGAGCATCTCATACTTCCAACAGATTCCCCAGCTAGTAGCTTTGGTAGGCACCATAGTATAAGCAAATGTAAGGTGCTATTCGTTTGACTAGCTGAGCATCGAACAAAGAAGGAATGCAGAATGGATTTTGCCCTTTTTTGATAGACACTCATTCGTGAAAAGAATTTTGCGCCAGTTATATGCATCCGTTTTTTCTTATCGTACTTTTTTATGATTGCTGAAAAAATTGAAGCTGCAAGTATTGACGAAAACCAAGTCAATATTTCAGCACTTCCTGTCTTGGTAACTATTGCTTGAATGCATGGCAAGAGACAAGAGTGACAACCACTCAATACTATCTCGCGCTCTGCATACGCGTCTTGCAATGCTTGGGGTCGTGTTATCTGTGGTTGGTTTTATTCCCTTAACACATCTGAACGAGCGTCGTGTGCTGGATTAGGTGTGATTTCCTGTTATTGAGTTCAAATTGCTTTTATCTCTGATCTTTTCTAGGTACAGTAGTGCACTTTCCTGCAAATGGAAGTATTATCATTTGGTGATCGTCTTGTCTGTTGTCTTTGTATCTGAATTTTGTTTCTTGAAGCTTCTATCCCAGGATCTGGCATTTTAAGGGTTTGTTCGGTCTGATGTTTTTCACGTAGTGGAAGTAGGGAAAACAAGTTACACAAGTGGCCTCTCACATTGATCGTGATTTGTGTCCTCCCCATCCTCTAACCAGAGGCGAACTCAGGATTTGAAGACTTAAGGTGCACCAATACTACCTAAGCTCAAATATTAGTGTTGTAGCTAGATACGACCCTAGGTAGTTCTTCTAGCTTGTACTAGTAGGACAATGGCAAACATATACTCCTAATGGGTGCCTAGTTAATTATATCTTAATTTATGTCAGTTTCTCAAGATGGATATACACCTATACACATAATTTTTCCCGAAGTTAACAGGTGCACGTGCACCCTCACCCTATAGGGTGGGTCTGCCTCTAACACATCTCCTCTTTACTGCCACTCCCGTAGCCTCCATCCCCACCACTCCATACTCCTACCCCACAATTTTCATCTCTCATAGTATTTGACTAGATTATATATATATATGCTTTTAAGATAATATTTTTTTACTCCCAAGTCCCATATGCTCTTTTTTTTTTTTGAATTATTCAAATAAGGCTTCGGCGTAATGGTGTCACTAATTAAATACACTTGAAAACCATGGTAATAAAGTTAGGTTAAAATTTTATCCATATCAAATATTTATATCAAGTTAATAATTGCATATTGGATAACATATCCATCTGGATAAAATGAATGAATATTTGATTACTGAATCTAAAATTAAATGCAAATCAAATACAATAAAACTTTCTGTGATTTTCATTGATCATGGGGATTAGCCAAAAAAATAATTCTTGTTATTTTTTTTTTTTGGGGGGGGGGGGGGGTGAGCTA